GCCTACACAGAACAGGCACTTGAGCACCTGTGAACTGATTTGGGGAGTGGGGCAGAACTAGGAGGAGGGAAAGGAATGAGCATTTATTAAATACCTACAATGGGTCAGGCACTTGCTAAGTAAGTGCTTACAATTATTATCTCATCCAATCCTCACAACAACCCTGTGAGGTAATAATAATAATAACAATAACAGTAACAGCCAACATTTAGATATGCTCCCTATGTGTCGGTCACTATGCTAAGTGCTTAATAATAATAATAATAACAACAATAATAATAATAACAACAATGACAGTAACAGCTAACATTGAGATATACTTCCCATGTGCCAGGCACTATGTTAAGGCTTAATAATAATAATGGCTAACATGTATATAGCACTTCCTATGTGCCAGGCATTATGCTAAATGCTTAATAATCATAATAATAACAGCACTAGCTCACCTTTACTTAGCGCCTACCCTATGCCAGGCACTGTGCCGAACACATTACAAACATCCCCTTATCTGACCCTCACCACAACCCAGGGAGACAGTTGGAGACTGTGAGGCAGGGGGCAGCGCCTTGCTGGTCCCAGGGCGGGCTGCTCAGGGAGGGCCTCACCTTCACTGTGCGAGGTCTGTACCTTCTCGCAGAGGCCCAGCACGCCCCCATAGCACTTGCGGAGCTGGCCTATGGTCTCGCTGGTGCGCTGCTCCATGAGGTGCTACAGCTCCTTCGCCGTGCAGCCAAAGGCCTTGGCCATGGCTGGTGAGTTGTTGAGGTGACCCTGTGTGCCCTTCCTCATGTTTCTGGAGGACATGGCACCGGCTGGGGGGCGGCAGTAGCAGGGGCAGGATTCGGGCCCTGGAGGCCCAGGCCCCCTTCTGGTTATGGGGGCTGAGGCTGGGCTCAGCTGGGGTCTAGGGGCGCCCCGCAAGGAGGGGAGAAGGGAGAGGTGCGGGACAGACCAGTGTTGCGGGGATTGGCATCCCTAGGCCCTGGACCTGGCTGACTGACTTCCTGGGAGCCAGGTGTAAACAGGATGTACATGTTACCATGGCAACATGGAACCCTGCTTGGGGTGGGGAAGGCGCAGGTAGGGGAGAAGGTCAAGATGAATGCAAGGAGGAAGGCTCCCTGGAGACAGGAGGCACCAGGGCAGAGACACAGCAATCACTTGCAGGGGCTCTGGATAAAGTCAGGCCTCACATAGGCCTAGATTTCCTCCTGCTACCTTTTGTCCTAGGGGGGTTGGCTGCAGGGTAGGGTGGGTAGAAAGCACCAGTTAAGACCCTACTGTATCTGTGCCGACCATCTTACAAATATTATCTCATCTGGGCCTCACAACAAACCAAGGAGGTTGATTTCCTCAATTTTACAATTGTAGAAACTGAGGCACAGAGAGCTTCCTGACTCCAGGCCCTGGTGGCTCTTAGGCACTTGAGGAAAAGAAAGGTAGTGACCCAGCCCTTCCTCCCTTTCCCACATTCCAACAGCCCCTTCCTCTGATTTTTAGGAGGTGAGTAGGTGCATACATGGCAGGAAGCTTCCTCTATGACTCTCAACATACAGGCACATAAGGGCTCAGAGAGGTATATACAAACAATCCAGCTGGCCCCAACCCCTCCCTGAAAGCAAAAGCAAAACAACAACAAAACACAAAAGCAATTCTTAATGCTTCAAACATCTTGAGAATGAAAAACCACCACTACCAAGTTACCTCCCCTAGGACACCACAGACCTTTTTAAAGACTTGGAATGTTCAGGCTCTGCTTGCTCTCCCTGCCTGTTGGGGTGACCTGTGTAGTTTTACATGTGCCAAATAGGATCCTCCTGGGGGTCTGTCTTAGGAAACATGTCCAGGTTCCTATCAGTCTTTGAATATGAAACTCACCTGTATGACTCAATTTCCCTTTACCTCCCACAGTAGGGGTGAGAGAGCCTAGCAGATCATGCCCAAATCCTCTGGGGGCACTGGCATGCCTGGCGCTCCCAGGTATGTGATGGCTCTTCAGCCCCCCAGAGCTATTAACTTGTTAGGAGCTAAGCACAGGACTCTGGGACCTAGTCACAGCTCTCTCCATTTGGTTGGTGGGTCCAAGGTTCTGGCAGTTACAGATACAGGGTAGGTGTTTCTTGAGAGGTGATAGAGAAATCAAGGGAAATTGAGACAGTGAATTTAGAGCCTCATGAGTCAGAGAGAGGTACTCTGGGTCAATGTGGATAATCTGTTCATCAATTTAGATATACACGTGCAATGTGCCAAACTAACATCAGCTGAGGGTAGGGCATGGGTTAGTCTCAACTGCTGTGGAACGAGCGCACCCGGGAATTCTCAAGAAGTTAGCTTCATAATTCAGCCATAGGAAACTCCATAGTATGAGTAGGGAAAGAGGGCATTGGAAGTCTCCTGATGGAGGCTAGGAGCTCCAGCTCTGTCACTGCTGACCCCATACCCCTCCAAGGTAAGTCATTTCACCTCTGGGCTACAGTTAATGGCTCGGCCAAAGGAGATTAATACATGCCCTTCCTACCTTTTCAGGTTGTTGTGAAGAAAGTACTTTGTAAATTGGAGGGGCTTATAGAAGCTATTACAACGGATAATATTCTTCCTCCCAGACAGAGGCAGAGAAGTAGATTTCCCAAAACAAAGTTCAAAGTTGTCTGTGGGGTGGAAGCCAAATCTCCTGAGCCTCATCCTTGAAGGCAGCTGGAGATGTTGACACACATCAGTCACTTAAAGATGAAGCTGCTTCTCTCTGGCAGAAGAGGAGCTTTGCACCAATTAAGTGATTCCTGCTGATAAGAGTTCAAATACTGGGAAGGAAGCCTTGCTTTTACCCCCTTTCACTAATAAGGAAATTATACCTTCGGAAAAAGAACAAAGAGCCAGAATTGGCAGCTAATTCAGATCAAGATGACAGAGTCCTTCTGGCCTTCCAAGAACCATCAGGAACAAAGAATATTTACCCTCACTGCTTTCAGTCAGCCCTGGTCAGGTCCCTAGGGGCAGGCAAGCAACTTCAACTCTCAACAATAGACACCCTTTGCCTTCTTCTGTCTCCAAGTAGTAAGCCTCTTGTGGAAACTCTGCCCACTCGAGGGTCCTGGGGTTGCAGAGGGTTTTTTTTTCCTCCCCTCCAAGCCAAGCTGTTTCTTTTCTGGGATCCTCCAGGTCAGTACAATTGGGGTATAAGTAAGAAAGGAGTCCAGATCATTTCCTTCAGCAGAGATAGCAAAGTCACATTTTATAGGGTAGCTTTAGGCTTTCTTTGGCACAATCCTATGGATTTAAGTTGTATAAGTATTATCCCCATGTTACAGATATGGAAACTGAAGCTCTGAGGGGTGACCCATGGTTACAAAGGTAGGTGTCTAATCTAGGATCAGAGCTACTCAGATCTGGCTGTTTCTACTACCCTGTGCTGCCTCTCCTATTAAGCACTACCACTACCACTACCACTGAGCACTACCTAGGTGCTAGGATTATGTTAGCTTCAGATCCTTGATTTTGAAGGAGCCTTCAGGGGACCTTGGTTCTTAACAAATGCTTGGGGGATTGGCATGTCTGAACAGAGACTGAACCTATGCAGCACAGTGCAGCACACATCCTTCACACATATTTGTAAGATAGGCTGTGCCGTGGAATCAGGTTCAATTAGCTTTCTTCCAAGACTGGCGGCATGGGGTTGGGGCAGAAGTAAGCAGAACATCATTCTTACTCAAATGGAGCTCTTGAACCTTTCAGAAGGGGTATTAATATCAGTGCTTACCCTAGTAGACAGAGGACTGGACTGTGGATTTAGAAGACAAAGTGATTCTAGCCCTGGCACATTCCTGTGACCTTCGATCTTTCACTACTAAGAGGATTCTTTATCTTCCAGCCCCACCCCTGCCAGCCACCCATTTACCTACCCTCACTCAAAGCTAAAGGCATGAGAAATTCCTAGACAATGTCCTTTATAATTTATAATCAATCACAAGGGAAATATGGCCCATAAAGAAATGAAACTGAGTCAATCAAAGAGAGAAAAATCAGTTTAAATTCCAGATTATATCACCTGAGGTAATACTCTAGATATGCTAGGATTTAGTCCCACTGGACCCAGTTCCTTACTCTACCTTTCATCTTTTCATGTGGTAACACCAGGGATTATAGTCCTCCCTTCCTCCAAAACAAAATCAAACACTACAAACACACAAGCATGAAAGCTTCAGTCTACACCTGGGTTTTTGCTTTATTGCATCTACCTTGGAAAGCCTAGAAAACGGCTCCTACCATACTCTCAGGAGGATGCCATCCCCTCTGGGTCACCCAAGAAAGGTTGGGGGAGAGGAGAGTAGAATAGGGAGGGAAAAAAGTATAAGAAAGTTGTTTGTGTCCCAGCCTGACCAAGAGACCATGGTAGACTTGTCTCTTTATAATTGGGTACCTAATGGAACCCCAGGCTCAGAAGGATTTGCAGGCCAACTGTACAGCTGTAGAAGCTTCTTTGCAGCCAGACTGGGCAGCAGGGTGCCACCACTATCTCAGCTCACCCAGAGAAGGATGGTCTTAGAGTTCTATATAGCTACTTAGCTGGCATGGCCTCTAACCTAATTAGGCAACTGCCAAAGAGCAATAATTTTCAAATGTACACTTCCCTAGCCTCAAAGGAAGTCCCAAACAAGCATTATCTGTTGGCCCCTGGGGAGTAGGGGAGGAGGATATCATCTCTCACCTGGCAAGCCTACTGTTAATCATCTTCAACTACAGCATTCTGGGAGAAGTATCCCCTCTGCTACCATTTCTGCCACTACTTCCACAAGTTTAAAAAATACCTCATCTCTTCCCTTTAAATAACAGATTGAAAAACATTAAACATTTGCATTTCTACAAATGCAAAGCGTTTTTCACATCTCTGTTCATATACCACATCCCTTAGTATCCTAAGGTACTATTTTCCCTACTTTACAGAGAAGACACGAAAGATCTGAGAGATTAAGAAACTTTGACTAAGGCTACCTGCACTAAGGGCAAAGCTAGCCTAAGAATTCAGGTCTCTTGACTTTCCCCTCCACAGTCTAATGCTCCTCTTACCGTGCAGGTTTCCTCCCTCAGTCTGACAAAACATCTAGGAATCTCCTAAAAAATGCAGGCACTTCAATTCAATAAATTTTGAGCAAATAAAATTTAAAAAAAGACAGTGAGCTAAGTGCTATGGATACAAAGACAAAACAGGAAACAGTATGTGCCCTCAAGGGTCTTACACCTTTCCTTAAGTTATTAAAGCTTTTCTGCTATCACTGGGCAATAAGGGCAAAATCCACCCTTACACACACACACACACACACACACACACACACACACACACAAGCACACACACATCCCTCCTCCTGATGACACAACCTAGGATCATCTAAAATTAGAAGCGTCTTCAGAGGCTATTTAGTGAAAACTCGGGAAAGTGGGTCTTCCCAGGTTAAGGGATTTGCCCTTGTCAGTGAGAGTCTGAAGGAAGCAGAATTCAGCTCTTCCCACTCCAGGGCCTGTGTTCTCTCCAGGATAACACTGTGCTTGGAGCTACACAGGACCTTAGAGATCATCTAGTCCAGCCCTTTCAATGTACAGATGAGGAAACTGCAGTCCAGAACAAGGAGTGAATTATCCAAGGTCACACAATTTAAAAAAGTTAGGATTTGAATTCTGGTCTTAGCAGTCCAACTCCGATGTTCTTACTACTAGACCCCACTGCTATGTGAAGTGATCAAAACATTAAGTAATAGCTCGGAATCCTGGCCTGGACCAGCTGAATCCCTCCATTATTTTAGGGACTATCACATTTTACTCATTGAAAGGATTCTCCCAGACTAGAAAAGGACAAAGATAACCTCTCAGTTCAGTGCACAGGCTTGTTTTTCTCCTCCAGGCCCCTTCCCTAGTCTGTTAGGAATCAGGGAAAGTTCTCATCTCTTGATGGAATCACCCCCTTCCCCCTGCTTCCCCACCCCATACATACACCTCACTTTTCCTACCAGAAGGTTACTGAATCTGGTTAAGATTGGAGGCAGGAATGTGAATGGATGTGGGGAGAAGTAGGACCCAGGGAGCTAAGGTTCCAGGCTGTTGTAGTGCTGCAGACAAACCTGCCTGGAATAATAAACAGCTACATTCCACCTCTGGCCTCCCAGCAGCAGGCATTGTGGGGTTTGATAAAGGACAGGGCAGTAGTAACTGCAGGCTTCCCTTCTCATTGCCCCCTTCATTCAACCTGGAACCTCTGGAGGCACAAGTTGAACATACCCCTAAAAAGCTCCGTGTCATCAGTTATTTGTCTGAATATCAGCATCTCTGCTGTGTTGAACACTAAGAAGGAAAGAAGAAAAGGCAGGAAGGGGAACAAGCCCAAGCCAGAGAGATGAAACCTGACGTCTATATTCTTCAGGACTGCCTTATCCTCATTCCTTTGTCTCATTTGTGCCTATGATGTAGCTCTGCCCTCTGACAGGTGTGACCACTCATGCTAATCCCTAGACACTTTCACCAACTGGTTTAGGCAAGGAGAAGGAAGGGGGTGACAGAGGAGGCCCTAGGGATTGAGCTCTTACAGCTTGCTGGGAAGGAAGGCCCAAAGAAAAACTGTCTTCTGGAGAGCTTAGAAGACATACATAGTCCCCTAGAGTATTCTAAAGGTGGTGGTAATAGCCAAACCTCTCCTTGCTCTTTCTGCAATTCCAGAAAATGTAGCTTCTTCCTACATCAGAAGGCACCTGGCCCTCCCTCCACAACCTATGCAGCATGCCTAGGAGTGATTGGTTTGGATGTTTTAATTTTGCACATTTTCAAATGAGCTATCCATCACTATTCACAACCTGGAAGACCCCATGGACAATGGAGAAGAAAGTCTCTTTCCCTTGACATTCAACAAGGTTGCTTGGGAAACTGCAGCCGAGATCATCTCCACCACTTGTATTACTAGTGGTATTTCCTAAGCTGTTACTTACAGGTTCCAGAGGTTCATTCTTCTGGACATTCTTACACATCTAATAAGAAGGCCTTCCTAGGGACAGGTAGGTGGATAGAGCAGTGGATAGAGCTCCGACCTTACAGTGAAGAGGAACTGAGTTCAAATCCAGCCTCAGACACTTGACACTTACTAGCTGTGTGACCCTGGGCAAATCATTTAATCCCAGCTGCCTCGCCAAAAAGTAAAAAAAGACCTTTTTGAGGACAGGAAGTTTATGACCTACAGGTCTCACATCCTGGTTTCACCTCATTACTCCAACCAAAATTTTCACCTAGCTCTGAAAAGACTACTTTTTCTGTTCCTGTGTCTGTTCTCCTCTGGTGTTGGAAGACTACGGGTCAAATCCTGGCTCTGCTACTTTCCACCTGTGTGTGACCCTGGGGAAATAATTTCTGTCACTTCATCCCTTGAGTTCATTCATAGGAAAATTTGTAACATTTCCTCTGAATGGTAGGATGAGGGAAGGGGAAGGGAGGAAGTTAGGGGTAGGGTCTTCCTAATCCAAAATCCTGGCGTTCCCTCCTCCTTAGACACACGGGCAACTAACTCTCTAGGGAATCTCAAAGGGAAACACAGAATCACAAAATTTGACAATTGCAAAGGACCTCAGCAGCTATCTTGTCCCCCATATATGACAGGAATTCCCACTATTACATACCCAACAAGTGGTCATCTAGTTTCTGCTTGAGGGGCACCCACCCCAACTGTAGGCAGTCTGTTCCACTTTTGGATACCTCTCACTGTTAAGGAGTCATAGTAACCCCCTCCCCCTAACCTCTACCCCCCCACCCCCCATCAAGCCTAAATCAGACCACTTGAATAGTCTCCCCATTGTTTACAGAAAGGTTTTTGTCTGGGATCAAACATAGCAAGTCAGGTCTCTCCCCCACAGGACACTCCTTCAGATGTTTGAAGATAGACATCATGATTTATTCTCATGCTTATTAAAATTTTGTTGACTGGTATCTATTTCCTTTGATAATCATTTAAGATCAATTGAGCCCCAATAAGGGCCAAAAACCTGAAGTAATCTTTTTTCTCTGAGTGAACTAAAAATGCCCCTTCCTGTGTCAGCAACTACAGGACCAGATGGAACTGACCAGCATTCTTCCTGTTTGTGATCACTAAGGACAGGACACCTGGGACCAGAGAATCTCTTGAATAGTGGGACTTTTCCTATCATTGTATCCTATGGACATATGTTATGTAGGGGAAACACAGATATCCTGGATCTATACTTTCAATTGATACTTTGACAGCCTACTCAACTAAGAAACTTCCTTTCCCATGCTATATGTTAAAAAACATATGGAGGCTGTATTTTTTTTTACTAACACACATATCCTGATTCAGGGTTTAAATGTCCTCCTAAAATTGCTTGAGTGATTCAGAGTTAAAGCCCTGATTCCATGTACATGTGCTACTTAAGGGAATAAGGAATGAAACAATATGAATTTACTTATCACCTAGCTTCTTGTCTCTTTAACCAACTTTCAGGTCGACACCATTAATATCACAACTGCATGCTTCCTTTTTTGAGCTAAATCTCTCTGGCCCCTCCACCAAAGCCTGATGTTGCTTTTCATAAGGCTTTTCACTCTGTTCTAGATAGGAAAGAATAGTGAATTTGTAGTCGGAAGATAAGTTGGAATCCCACTTTTGTCATTTCTTCTTGTGTAAAGAGGCCACTAAGCGGATATAGTGGATATAATGCCACACTTGGAGTCAGAAAAACTTGAGTTCAAATCCAGCCTCAGAAACTTACTAGCTATGTGACCCTGAGCAAGTCACTTAACCTCAGCATACTATCTGGCACATGCTGTTTTTGTTGTTGTTGAGTCATAACTGTCTCTTCATGACCCCATTTGGGGTTTTCTTTACAAAGATACTGGAGTGGTTTTCCATTTCCTTCTCCACTTAATTTTAAAGATGAGGAAACTGAGGTAAACAGGGTTAAGTGACTTGCCCAGGGTCACACAGCTAGTAAATGTCTGAGGTCCATTTGAACTCAGGAAAATGAATTTTCCTGACTCCAGGCCTGACACTCTATCCACTGTGCTGCTTAGCTGCCCATCTGACTACTTAGCAGTGCCACAGTAGCCATTTCATACATGTTTGTTTCCATCCTTATAGTTACTTCCTTTCTGTAGGCCTCATTTTCTCTATTTATAAAATGTAAAGGATAGTGGTTCAATCAGGTTAAGAATTCCCACCTAGTGGGCCAACCCTTCCATGAAGCTGAGAAGGGATCTAAGGATCCACATACATGTATCAAGTCTTGCCAAAAAGGTCATTTTCGTAATCAATGACTACTAATCTATTGACTCTGGATAGATGAGAAGCATCCAAGTTAGAGTCAGGAAGACCCGGGTTCAGTCCCCTGTTGGTGACCAAGGGAAAACCACTTAACCTCTCAGTGCCTCTGGGAACTTTGACCAGACTCTCTGGGTTTCAGTTTCTTCACCTCTATAATGATATACTTCAACAAGACCTCTGCCATCTCTTCTATCTCTAAGTCTATGATAACTTCTCTTCCAGCTCAACATACCTCACCAGGAGAGGAGAAAAGACAATAGCTGTACCGCCTTTTGCAGCCATCACACTTCCAAGACTTCCTAGTTGCTGGCTAGAAGCCTGCCACCTTTGGTACAAAGGGTCTGGAAAGTATCCAGGGGAAGAAGATCCAGACATATGCTTGTGTGACCAGAAGAGACATACCCAGAAACAAAGCTGAAAATGCCAAAACGGCTCTGAGGACCCAGACAAGTGAGTTTTTATAGGACTTAAGAGATGAGAGGGGAAAAACTTCCATGGAATTCTCCTGACCTGGGTTCTCATGGCCATGAGAAGACAATATGACCATATCACAATGTATTAGAAAGGTCATAGTATCAGAGGTCTAAATTTGGAAGGTCCCTTAGAAGAAATAGGCCAGTTCCCTCATTTTACAGATAAGAAGACTGAGGAATAGAAAGGCTAAAGATGTTGCCCAAAATAGCAGGTAGTGAGGTTGCAGAAACAGAATTTGAATGCAGGCCCTCTGACTCCAAATCTGGTCTCCCACTCTTCACTACCTCCTGATCTCTAGAAGGTCACTGAGACTTACTCTGAATGGTATCTACCCTTTTTCTTGGATCTCCTATGCTCATCACTCTCCTCTTCCCAAAATTTCTGTCAAACAGTTTCAGAAAAAGGCCCACTCCCTTCATATAACACTCACTTACAAAGGCAGGTTAGTCAGACACAGATATGAAAGACTTCTGCCCCTTTTATCAATATCCTCCATAATTCTGGGAACTGTTGCTGCTGGCTCACTAAAACCCTACTGACATTCAGAACCTCTTGAGCCCTGGACCCAAAACCAGCAAGAAAAAAAAAAAGTATGCCAGACCACCCCCCTCCCTCCCTAGTGATGCTTCTAAAGACACCTGAACAGCCAGGGAGAGACAGAGACAAAGAGACGAGACAGAGACAGAGAGAAAGAGACAGAGAGAAAGAGAAAGAGAGAGAGAGAGAGAGAGAGAGATTACAAAGCAGAGGGAAAGGAGGAGAGAAACAGAGACACACAGAGAGACAGAGATAGAGACAGAGTGAGAGGAAGAGAGAGAAACAGAAAGAGAGAGAGAGATGAGAACATAGAAGGGGGAGAGAGAGGAAGGGAGGGAGAGGAAGAGACAGAAAGAAGTAAAGGGAGTCACTGGGAATATAGTTCAGATGAGGGAAGGAAATTAGCACAATGAAGAAAAGGTGAGGCTGGGGTAGGGATAACCTGGGTAGAACCTAGTAGGAAACAAAGGAAAGGACTCCTTTATAATGAGGTCATCAAGTTTTAGGCCCCTAGCCTCAGAGCTAGGGAATTCTTATTTTGACTTATTCAATGGGAGATTAATAGAGTCCTCCCACTTCCTTTCAGAGCTAGCTCTGAGACACCAGTCTGTGTGTGTGTGTGTGTGTGTGTGTGTGTGTGTGTGTGTGTGTGTGTGTGTGTGTGTGTGTGTGTGTGTGTGTCTGTCTGTCTGTCATGCTCTTGGATCACTCTAGGTGCAGGCTTCAGCCCAGGGAACTCCAAGCCAAGGGTGAGGTGAGGCAGGGCTCAGAGGAGAAGCCAGAGGAACTACAAAAGAAGGTCCCTGCCCTAGGGGACCTCTCACTCTAAAAAGTAAAAGAGACAGGGCACACCTATATCAATAAGACCTGAAAAGACAGTGGATCAAACTAGGGAACAAGCAGCCCAAAGGGCAGACCTAAGGGAAGAGTTGGGTGAGGGAGGGAAATAATTAACCCCCCTCAAAAGAAAATTGTTTTAAAATTACCACTGAAGTACAGGAATTTGGAGGCAGAAGAGCTAGGTTTGAATTTGGGCTCTGTGATTAACTATTGTGACTTTGGACAAGTGGTCCTTTCCATCTTCTTCTGTATCAGTAAAACAGGAACAATAATACTTAGCTACTTCTACAGGGGAAGAAAAGGGAACAAGCTTGATTTGTTAAGCACCTACTATATACTGGCCATTACAAATATTATCTCATTTGATCCTCACAACCCTGGGAGATAGGTGCTGTTATTATCCCCATTTTATACTCAAGGAAACTGAGGCAGACAGTGGTTTAGTAATTTACCCAGGGTTCCACAAAGCTAGTAAATGTCCAAGGCTGTATTTGAATTCCAGTATTATGAGATCAAATGAGTTAACGTACAGCAGTGTACAGCAGTGTTTTGTTTTCTTTTGTTTTTTTACAAAATGTGAGCTGCTGTTGTTTTTATAAAATGGAAGAATTATGCTAGATAGTCCAAGATCCCTCCAAGTTCCTATCATCTTCTTGTCTACTTGCCACAAATAGAACCTGATGCTTCTGCACCCACACAACATACATCTCCTTCCTTGGAAAAGGTTAGCAAAAGACAAAGACGTTACCCAAATACTCTTTCTCTTGAGGCCTGGGACAGTGCTTTCTATGTACTGGGTGGGAACCAATATAAGACATCCTGACTGCACATTTCACTGGTTGTGTCCCATGCCTGGCTTTTCTCCTTCCTCATCCCCATCTCTGTCTCCTCACCTTCTTCAAGTCTCAGCTAAAAATTCTACCTTCTACAAGAAGCCTTTCCCAATCTCCCTTAATTCTAGTGCCTTCCCTCTATTGATTATCCCAATTTACCTTCTTTGTACATATCTTATTTGTAATACAGTTGTTATCATGTTATCTCTTCCTGTAGACTCTTTGAGAACAAGAATTGTCTTTTGCTTTTCTTTGTATTTCTAGTGCTTACTAAGGTACCTTGCACATAGTAGGTGTTTAACAACTGCCTGTTGACTGACTGGGTGGTCAGTCAGTGCCAAAGAAGACAGTACCTGGGGGGACTTTCTGGAGCAGGGCCCCAGGTGCCTGCTTAGCCCCCACCCTCTCTATGGGTCAGTTGTCCCCTCTTCAGCTTGTCCTATTTTCTACAAAAGTTTTCAATTAATAACTACAAACTGCCCCATGCCATGAGGAATTTAATTAAAGGGAAGGGAGTACATGGAAGAAGCATTATTTAAGGGGGTGGGGTGGAGAGGAGAGAGGAACTTGGCTTGCTATGTTCCAAATTAGACCCTTGTCCACCAGGCTTGGTGATGTCACTAAGAGCCCATGTGAGATGCTGCCAAGGTAGGTATCTTCCACAGCAGCCTGGTACAATTGATTTTTTTTTTCAATTGAAATTCAGGACTTGAAATTTCATTAGGGATATATATAATCTTGATTTTAGCCCAGAGTTTTAGCCTGTCCAGATAGTTTTGAGTCTTGCTGCTAATCATATTTGCTGTCTCTCCCACTTTTGTTTCATCTACAGATTTGATAAGAATCATTTCCTTGTCTCAGACAAGTCACTAATTAAAAAAAAAAGTGGTCAAAAATATAGTCCTGTGGCTTGGTACTAGAGAGCACCTCTCAGATTCAAACAATCAACCAACAAGTATTTGTTAACCTTAAATTTAGGTTAAAATTCCAACAATAACTAGGTGCTTAGCGAGATACAGTTTAAATAAGGCATAGTTTCTAATCTCATAGGATTTACAGTCTAATAGGGAGCAAATATTTATCATGTATTTCAATAATATTGTTATGAGAGGTACAAAGTACAGAAGCATTCCCAAACTCTTAATGTATCTTAAAACTACACCAAAACATCTATACTATGTAAAACCTGGGGGGGAGGAAAAGTTTCATTACTGAGGATAGATATTAAGGAAGACTTCCTGGAAGTGGTGGGGAGATTGAATGAATGATATAATTGAAAGAAATTTAAAAATTATAGGAGGAACATACTAAGGGGAAAAAGGTAAGTTTTGTTCATACATAGCATAGATTTAGAACTGGAAAGGACCTTAGTGGTCAAGTCCATCGCTTTTAAAGTCTCCTCTCCAGCTCTAATCTACGATCCTATCACTCCTTATTTTTAGGAAACTAAGCCTCACCTTTAGTAAGTGTCAGAGGAAGGATCTGAACTCAGGTCTTCTTGAGTAAAAGTAAAACACTGACACCAGAGGTGTCAGATACATGGCAACAACACTCTTGAATGGACCCCAAACCAGATTAAAATGAAACCGGAAAATACTTAACAAAATAAAAATACAACTAAACATAGATAATGTTGATTTGTGGTTTTCTAAGTCAATATGCAGCAGGCAGGCAGGGATCCATCTGTGTCCTACCCCATGCATCCTCTATGTTGAGCTTGAGGTACCAATAGGACAGTTAGATGGTTATGTTCTGTAAGCAGAGAAGTGGAGAGTCCAAAGGTCAGGAGAAAGGTCAAGGCCTGAGGTACAGATGGGCAAGAGTCCTTTGCATAGAGGTCATCCCTGAAGAGTAGAAATGAAGAATAATGTGAATGGAGTGATTATAAAGAACACAAAGTGGAGAACCCAAGTTGAACTCATTTGTAGGAGGACCACAAGGAACAAGTAAAAAAAAATTGAAAGAAAATAACACTTCTGAGAGAGGGGATGACTACTAGGTCAGGAAACTAAATAAAAGTTCAGGACTCAAAGAAGGGGTACATTTGAATTGAATAATAGCTAGGGGAAATAAAATATATAAAATAGAAGTATTTATCTCTAGGCCAAACCATTCATTAAGCATTATAATTCTAGCAGCCTACACAGTTTTCTCTTTGCATCCTCATCCCCCAGTGTTTGGCTGAAAGCACTTTACAAATATTAACTCACTTGACCCTTACAACATCCCTGGAAGGTAGGTGCTATTGTTTCCATTTTGCAGATGGGAGGCAGGCAGTGGTCAAGTGACTAAATAAGATACTTGCTAATATATCCTATGGGTTCAAAAGAATTTGCCATTGACCCCAGTATTATTCAAGTCCCCTTTCACCACCTAATCCACAAAGGTCTAAGAGTTTCTTTGCTTAAAATCAAAGGACACTTTGTCTCAGTCATACTAGTAACTTTTTTTTCCAAAAACAAATTGAGATTATATAATAGCTAATGATAAACATTTAAAAACATTTTTGTTTTAAATCCAATATTCTTGGCCCTTTAAGAGGAAATATTCTCCACAAATTTATATATTCCCTTAAAAAGACACGCGATGATAATTCCTTCTCTAAATAATTCTCTCCACTTTTCTTTCCTACCTCCGTAAGGGAGCAAAGAAAAAGTCTCCTCTCCTTTTTAGAGGCTTATCAGATAAAGCCACTCTCCTGAAAATCTCAGGCTTCAGCAATTTGAACCGGGTATAGTCAGTTTTCTAGCCAGATTTAATAAAACC